CAGGGTGTCTGTGGACCAAGTACACTGCGAGCTAGCTTTGGATTTTGCTACACAATTAATATGAAAGCTGTACTTTAAAGGGGACTGAAGAATGACAGGTGTAGTGTGGTCTATAAACTGATACCTTGGCACTGCACTAAACCATGAAATGTTAACTATGGAATTATTGGGCCGTTGGTGTAGCTCCAAAATCTCCCTACTGGGATCGCAACGAGTCCTGACTCTATATGGGACCAATGACTTTTTTTAGAGCGTCGCATTTTGTGTGCTAATTTGCCCACAATAATTCTTCAAGACAATATAGCAGAATACAGTAAGGTGCAAAAATCACACACAAGGGCAGTCAATGACTTCTGTAAAAGGAATACTGAAGCGACTATCACTCCTCCACCTGGAAGAGAGGCTCCTTGGACAGGGAAATCACAGCTGGCCCGGAGCGAGCAACTGCAAAAACACTCTCTCACAACTGCTCAAAACAGAGGAAATCGGAGAATTCAATTATGACCACTCATGACAAAACCTTTTTGTACACTGCATCATAAAAATGTGAAACTCTGCCTCAAAAATGCTGTGGCAGCAAGAGTATACAGGAGTTCAACAAATTATTATATCAACTGAAAGTAATTAATGGAAGAAGAGCTTCTCAAGGCCTGTTAAATGCAAAGATGACGCTACAGCCGGTGGCTTAGCAATTCCCTAAACTGTAGATGGCCCAAGGTACACCTGCCTGCATCTGGGAGGTATACTAGGAGAAATCACGCTTCCTCTATTATTTAACTTTTTCCCTAGCAAGCCGTCACTTGCCACTGTCAGGCACAAGAGCAGACAGATAAACTTTTGTTTTAACTCAGCATGGCCATTCTTCACAGATAAAATTTGCCCCATTCAAATACCGAATTTTCGCATATTATGGCGCCAGAAGCATCTACAAGTTTCTCTATGCTGTGAGGATTATCAGCAATCCATCAGCCTGTACTGATATTTTCCCCAAACAGAGGTGATGAAAGAATCCAAGCAGAAGTTGCTAGCTCAAGGAGTCTTCCTCAAATAGATTCTATGTCTGAAAGCCAAGCAGCCATAACCACCTCAAATCTTTTTCTTGTCTGCAAAATGTTAGCCATTTTCCGCACTGAGACTGCATTCTGCAGCTCCTCACAGTCTAACGCATTATGTAGCTTTTAGAGACCAAATGATGCTTTTTAAAGAATTAGTATGTTCCTACTCTCGCTATACAGAACCGCTGCTCCACTTTGATCAAGGTCACTCTGCAGAAATGTAAACGCTAATTGTTCTTTATACTTTATTGGTGAA